TGAGGGGCAAGAGGTTGCCGAGTGAGATGAGATGTGCCTGCCGGATTGTTGTGTTGGGGCTATCTTTTTGTGCTATTGCTGTGTAGGCTAGGAGTTCACATCTGCAGTGAAGCCGATCAGCCTCTTCCTTCCCCTCATCGTCCTCGTCCTCCCTCCTCCTCCTCCTCCTCCTCCTCCTCCCTGCTTCGCTCCCCCTCCCCGCCTCCCGCGCGCCCGTCATGTCATCGATGCTGGCTCCTGGGGCTGGGCACGCGCAGAAGGCGTGGTAAACTACAATGCGAAACGCCAAAATTGAGGGGGGGGCCAGCAGCCAATATCGATGACATGACGGGTTGGCGGACGGCGAGGGGAGGAGAAGGCCCTGATGATCCTCGAAGTGAGGGGGAGGAAGGTTGATGATGCGGCGTTGTGTTCGGGGCCGATCAGCTTCGCTCTCGCCCAGCGACGTAGGAAGGGCGGTGTTGGCCAGAGACAGGCATGCGGGATAGCCTGCGTAGCTTGCACCTCCCACCAACTGCATAGTATTTGAACGTGTGTCAGAGACGATCAGCTCCAACGGATATGAATGTATCGCAAAATCAGCGTTGTTTCATCTGATGTGCGTCGCCGCACGCGTGTCTTTGATGTCGCACCAGCGCGCGCTTCAGGACTTCAGGACTGCATTATAATTCTGACCCCCTTTTCCAGCCACCACGGCAGCCCACTTTATTATGCATGTTAGGTAACGCCATTCGCCCTGGACGATCAACTTTATAAGCTCCTATCCGGTAGGTCCGATAGGAGCTTATCGCCGTGGTGGGTGCGTGGTGGTGGGTGGTGGGTGTGCGGTGGGTTGGTGGTGGGTGGGCGGTGGGTGGGTGGTGGGTGGGTGGTGGGTGGTGGGTAAATGTTGTTGGGTGGGCGGTGGGTAGGTGGTGGGCGGGTTGTGGATGGGTGGTGGGGCAGTGGTGGGTGGGTGGTGGGTGGGTGGTGGGCGGGTGGTGGGTGGGTGGGTGGTGGTTGGGTGACCGGTGGGTGGTGGGCGGATTGGTGGCGGGTGGGCGGTGGGTGCGTGGGTGGGCGGTGGGAGGTGGGAGGTGGGCGGGTGTCTTAACACCGAGGCTTCAAGAGCGAGCGGTGACGTGATAATCTCCGAACACCAATGCTCCCAAGAGCGAGCGGTGACGTAAACAATTCTCGGCGCGAAGGCTCCGACTGGTCACCGCGGCAACGGCAACGCCAGCAGCACCACCACCGCCAATAGGCACCACACTTGGACAAAGGTAGCTTCGAAGGAAGCGCGGCCTGATCCTCCGACCTCCGATTTCTGGCTCCCAGGATCGAGCGGCGACGTAGCGAGCTCTCAAAGCCAAGGATCTCGAGGCCGAGCGTGCCATGAGCCATTTCGGGCAAGTTCCTGACGCGCACTTTCTGTTTCTGTGTCAGCCCGGGGCCACGTCGACGGATGTCTTTCAACGTGGGCCTGCTCCTGGGCGCCGTTGAAGGATGTCCTTCAACAGGGGCCTGCTACAGGGCCCCGTTGAAGGATTTCCTTCAACGGGGGCTTGTCCAAGGGTCCCGTTGAAGGACTTTCTTCAACTGGGGCCTCTCCCAGGGCCCCGTTGAAGGATTTCCTTCAACGGGGACCTGTCCCAGGGTACCGTTGAAGGATTTCCTTCAACGGGGGCCTGTCCCAGGGCCCCGTTGAAGGATTTCCTTCAACGGGGGCCTGCCCCAGGGTCCCGTTGAAGGATTTCCTTCAACAGGGGCCTGTCCCAGGGCGCCGTTGAGGAATTTCCTTCAACAGTGGGCTGCGCCAGGGCGCCGTTGAAGGATTTCCTTCAACGGCGGCCTGTCCCAGGGCCCCGTTGAAGGATTTCCTTCAACGGGCGCCTGTCCCAGGGCCCCGTTGAAGGATTTCCTTCGACGGGGGCCTGCACCAGGGCGCCGTTGAAGGATTTCCTTCAACGGGGGCCTGTCCCAGGGCCCCGTTGAAGGATTTCCTTCAACGGGGGCCTGTCCCAGGGACTCGTTGAGTGATTTCCTTCAACGGGGGCCTGTCCCAGGGTACCGTTGAAGGATTTCCTTCAACAGGGGCCTGTCCCAGGGCCCCGTTGAAGGATGTCCTTCAACGGTGGCCTGTCCCAGGGCCCTGTTGAAGGATTTCCTTCAACGGGGGCCTGTCCCAGGGACCCGTTGAAGGATTTCCTTCAACGGGGGCCTGTCCCAATGCCCCGTTGAAGGATTTCCTTCAACGGGGACCTGCCCCGGGGCCCTGTTGAAGGATTTCCTTCAACGGGGGCCTGTCCCAGGGCCCCGTTGAAGGATGTCCTTCAACGGGGGCCTGTCCCAGGGCGCCGTTGAAGGATTTCCTTCAACGGCGGCCTGTCCCAGCGCCCCGTTGAAGGATTTCCTTCAACGGGGGCTTGTCCCATTTTCTCGTTGAAGGACTGCCTTCAACGGCGGTCTGCTCCAGGCCCCCGTTGAAGGGCTTGCTTCTAGAGTGGACAACGCAACATTCAGCTCTCTGCGCATAGCGTTGATGCTCGAAGGTTCTAGCTTCGCAGCCGCCAGATTAACGTAGGGAAAGTGCATGTTTTTGTGTGTTTCAATACTTGTAGCTCGCAACCCCAAAAAATAACGCAGCGAAGTTATCAGCGTTATTTTTTGGGGTTTCGAAGTTAGAACATTTGAAACCCAAAACTTGGGCTAAGTTCGCATTGAATGTCATCCTTCAACATGGGGCCCAGGCCAGCGTTAGCTTTGAGAGATCTGTTCCAGCGTAGCATCTTAAGTATAACCGTTATCAGCTATGGAAGTATAATGTTATATTAATAGGAACGCAACAGAAATGCGCACGATACCGCGTTACTACTTGAGCTTGGTGTCTGCTCCCCTTAGAGACGTACAAGCCACAACAACACACTTGGCATCATTTAGTTTCTAGCATCAGCATCAGTGACACTAGCGCTTGGTATGCGCTTCCTGACCACTATCGCACTGACGCAACATTGTTCAATAATGCCGAATATGGTTCTGCAAGGGTCCACAGATAAAACGTAACACCACAATACTGACTGACATTTGTTTGGTATGCCGTGTGTGTGTGTCTTCTGTAATGTGTTACTCGCGTATGCAGTGGTAATTTGTATGCAGCACATTCGTTTGACGTGCGTGGGTAATGACATCAGCTCTCACCATGACATGCGTGAATTCATTATTCAATACATCACATCAAATACATTGCATTGTTGAGTTTGCGATGCGTTGCAATACAAAGTCAGTCTGTCCTATTTGGTTACGTTGCTGCCATCGCATCACGAATGATATTCTTGCAATGCAATGTGAGGCAGTGCGCGCGTTCGGCGTTCATGCTGGCGGCCGTCTTAGAAACGATCAGCTTGCCACCAGCCCATCTCAGAAACGACGGGCCGATCCCAGAAACGCTGCTGCGATAAAGCAATCACATTACCAGCCAATCACAGAAACGATGCGATGATCCGTATCATGAGGCTGAAGCCCGGACTTGCTCAGATGCTCATCCAAGAAGGCGCTCTCCCTGTATGCGCATGTGCCGATGAGTTCTGTCGCGCCTGCTGCATGTGACAAGTATTCAGCTGGTATTGTCAATGATTTGCCAGGCATGTTCGATTGGGTCAAACACACACTGCACTACACTGCATGGATGACATCAACGACAAAAGAAGAGGTGCAGGCAGCCATCGTGGAACGCTTGTCGACGTTCACGATGTCCACATCGTTCTCAGGCGTCGGAGCTCCTGAGCACGCGTTGGGGCGCATGACATCTTACTTGGGGATCTCGCATGTAGAGCCATCGCACGCCATCGAATATGATCGGGAGTGTCGTCGGGAACTATGTCTAATTGAGCCTCGCCCTGGATGTTTGTTTTACGACATCAATTCTTTCTGGGCCATAGAGCCGCGATCGTGGTGGGGCGTTGACGAATACACGTTGGCTATAGTCAGGGGAGGAAGCATATCGTTGTCGGGGTCCTGGTGTACACTTCATCAGTCGACAGCCTGCTGTCTACGCCGGGCTGATTGCCGCGTTGGCGGGGCCCCCTGTCCAGATTGGAGCGCCCAAGGCGCTAGGCTTGGAGTGGAAGGAGAAGACTTGCAATCGACTTTGGCGTGGGTAGCAATGAGATGGGAACTTGAAGAGTTGACGTGGATCAATGAAAACGTGAAGTTCTTCCCCCCTCAAAAGGTATTCGCTGGGCTGCTCAAGAAAAATGTGATATTCAGCGTTGTTGTTGACCTCGCGAACCTCGGGTGGCCTCAGCGCCGCGAACGGCGCATATCTGTTGGCGTTCACAAATCGTTGATTGTAACTGGCGTTGGTTGGGATGTATTTGGGGGTGCCTTCCGGCGACAGATGAAGGCGACGTGGCGCCATGTGCTCTGCGCCACGCCAGAAGAGCTCGACAGCGAGCTCGAGTGGGCCAGGCGCAGACCAAGTTCACTATTTAGACGATGCGTGGACGCTGCCACTGCTGACGCTCAAGCCCAAGGGAAGGTGTTCGTGCAAGATATCTTGGACAACCCAGACCGCTTTGACCAGATCAAACGCATGACAAATACTTCTGCTTTTACTGACGCCATGAGCTTGTTCGAACTCGCTAACATGCTAAAGTACATGAGCAAGGGGGCGCCGCGTGGCACTGTCTTCGATTTAGGCCAGAGTGCGGTAAAGAGATACACAGCTGGTACTGACTTCGCTACGCCAACAGTCACCAGAAATGTTCACATGCTCTACTCGCCCGAGATTGCGCGGTGGCTTACAACTAAAGAAATGCTATTGCTCCAGGGGTTTCCAGTGATATCTGAGGCAAAACCGCGCAACGAACACTGCTGCTACGATGAGCCCCGCATCACGTTTCCACGAGAACGTGGCCACATTGCGCACCAGGCAGGCAATTCAATGAATGTGCACATGATTGGCCTAGCGATAATGTGGACGTTGGCGGTGCCCAAGCCACGCGCAGAGGAAGACCAACAACAGCAGCAAGAGCAGCAGCAGCAGCAAAGCATGGACTCCAGGGACCCAGGCTCCAGAACCTTGGATGGTCGGAAGCGCAGCAGGTCTCTAGAGACAATTGATTTGCGATCCCGGGCCGCCGCCTCATCTTCTGAAACTCTGAATTTTTTTGCAGCAGCATCTGGCCGTTCGGCGAATGTGAATGCGAATGTGGGCAACCACATAAGCAGGCAACTCCGCGCCACAGTCAGTAGCCCGGGGAGGGCGACGCCGCAGAATAGCAAAGGCGGCAGCGGGTCCTCAGCCAGCGCCTTCTTCCGTCGCGCCTCTGGTGCGTCGTAGTGCAGCTAGGGCGCCCCCCCATCCCTTCCCTTGCAGCGCTTCTCTTTCAGAGAGAGAGAGAGAGAGAGACTGATACATATATATATATATAGAAAGAGAAGAAGAGAGACAGAGACAGAGAGAGAGAGAGAGAGAGAGAGAGAGAGAGAGACCGTCTCAGACTCTGAGAAAGCGCAGAGCACTGTTCGTCCGATCGACTGATGTTGCCGCCTGAGACGCAGTGAAGACGTCTCAAGCTTTTGCCAATTCAAACCAGAGTCACCCTTTTTCGAGTTCCTACATGCATGATCCTATGATCCTAAGCGCCCCCGCCCCCCTGCCGCTCTCGACTTCTGAAACGGCCAACTCGAGTGCGACGCGTGGAAGATGGGGAGATTAGGATTGGGAAAGAGGGTGCTGTTCAGAAACAGTTAGCAGTTAGAGACTCAAAGAGAACCCGAACCCAACAACTTAAATCAAAGATGGGGAGATTAGGATTGGGAAAGAGGGTGCTGTTCAGAAACAGTTAGCAGTTACAGGCTCAAAGAGAACCCGAACCCACCAACTTAAATCAAAGATGGGAAGATTAGGATTGGGAAAGAGGGCGCTGTTCAGAAACAGTTAGCAGTTAGAGACTCAAAGAGAACCCGAACCCAACAACTTAAATCAAAGATGGGAATATTAGGATTGGGAAAGAGGGGGCTGTTCAGAAACAGTTAGCAGTTAGAGACTCAAAGAGAACCCCAACCCAACAACTTAAATCAAAGGCTCGTCAGGTCAATGCCTGCCCTCCCCACATGGTCCCATCCACCCTCCTTTTGGTCCTTTCCCTGTGCCGCCGCCATTTGCAATGTTCGAGCTCTTTGAGCGAGTTTCGGGCTTCAGGACTTCAGAGTCTCGCATCGCGACAGCCGGCGCAACCATCCCAGAGCCTCCCAGAGCCACCCTCGACGTCGACGATCGTGCTGGACCCGCGGCACAATGGGAGGGGATCGATCTCAGAGGCGCATCCAGGTCTTTCGGGCAGAGAGCTGCAGACTAAAATCTTCGATGACTTCCTCTGGGGCAGGGGCGCGCAGGAGAGCCGCCGAGTCCAATTCTTGTCCCCCCGCGGCGCGCAGCTCCTTCGGCGCCACCCCATGAACAAGAGGGACTGCAAAGCGCATCGTGAGCGTTTGGTGCAGGACCGAACGTGCAAACCGACTTCCCAAGTCCGACTGCCCCATCCTCGCTACAGTCTGACTCAGCCCTCTACTGCCGCCTGTTTTTGCTCCTCACTGCTCCTCTGCTACTCCTCCTCATTGTCTCATTGTGTTGTGCACGTCAATGCGTATCCTAGCTGCCCATCCCCCCCCCCCCCCAGGGCGTCCTCGCCAAGGGCCTCGTGGAAGGAGTCCGCGGCGAGGCGTGGGCCGTCCCTGCCGTTGACAACGGGCCGAACGGGGAGGTCCTCGGCCCAGAGACAGTGTTGCTGCTGATTTCCCACGCCACGCTCGTCGAGGCCGCGAACGAAGCCTTCAGGCGCCAGCCCACTAGCAGGTTCGTAATCAAGACGATGGAGGGGGGCATCGTCGTGAAGATCTTCCTGCCTTCGACTCCGGCTTTCGCGCTGATCTACCTGCGAGATCTCCATAATCAGTTTCACCTGGGAGCGGGCACATCATTCTTGGAAAAGTACGTTCAGTCGGCCGAGTTCGAGAAGGAGTGGGTGGACTACATGAAATCCAATAACATGGTGGCCCGCCAGATGCCGACTTCTGGCCCCAACACTTACCTGAAGGAGTATTGGCGCTGGATCACCAAGTTCCACAAAGACGAGTTCACCACCTGGCAGATGTACAAGTCTGCCAAGACGTTCATGCGCAATTTGGCACAGAGAAAAATCTACACTACGTGGAGCGAGAGGGTCTCATCCGAGTGCGACTTCGCGCATCCTGCCTTGATGACAGCAGATGCGATCTTCATCAACATGGAAGTGCATGATGTGGTGATGAGCTTTCAAGACACGATCCCGCGGGCCCACTTGGATATGATGCTGATGGAGTGCCTTCGCTTTTCTTATCCTGTGGTGAACATGGACTCCAGCGAGGACTTTTGCCATGAAACTGTAGCTTGTGTTTTCCAGAACCAGGAACCGGTGTCAGCTTTCCAAGTCCGCAGGTCCATTCTGGAGTCCTGGAGTTCAGGCCACGATAGTTTTTGGGATTCTTGGATAGGGGTTCTTGGGTTGAGAGGTGTCTTCAACGCTTCCAGGACGATGACCAGCTGTGGCTCTTCAGGACCAGGGGTGGCATTGAGAACAAGCTGAAGATCCTGAAGTGCCCGATGGGGGGGGGCGTGGCGTACCTCGAGGCCCTCGAGGCCAGCAAGAAGAGGTCTGCCGCGGCCAATTCGTGTTCGAACGGCAAAGCTTCCAAAACAACGGCATCGACAGCAGAGACCGACGCCGGCGGGCAGAAGTGCGACGGCAAAGGCCCGGGCAGCCAGAGCAAGGGCAAGGGCAAGGGGAAGAAGGGCAAATCAGCAGCTGAAAAGAAGAAGAAGGCTGCCGTCGGCAAGGCAAAGGCCAAAGCGAAGGCAAAAGGTGCTGAATCCAAGGCGATGGACATCCTGTGCGAGGAGCAGATCTCAGCAACAGCCGAGGTTGTCGTTGATCACGGTGCCCAAGGCGAGGAGGACATGCAAGTGGCCGAGGAGATCGCTGGCGAAGTGGAGATGATTCAGGAGGCTGATTCAGTGCCAGAGCTTCCAGCCTCCCCGGCGCACCCTGAGGACGCCGACGACGCAGTGCAGCCCGTCAAGATGAAGCTCTTCTCGAATGACCTATACAGCATCGCGGCGTCGGTGTTGAAGCACGTGCCAGAGACGAATCACGACGAGGCCGCGATTGCATCCATGTACAAGGAGGGGATGTTTTTCGCCTTTGAGAAGCAAGCCATTGACGTCGTCGACCGCCAGAGCCATCAGTCATGGAAATCGTTCCGCGGTTTCCTGATGCGCAGGTTGGCTGCGAAGCACGTGTCCAGGGCCCCCTCTGTCCAGGCTCTCGCGGACATGGCTGTGGAGTCGGCGTCGGCGCAGAGCACGGGCGGCATCGGCCCTCAGCAGGCAGCTCTCGCCATCGAGGCAGAGAAGAAGAAGCACTTGGACGATGTCGTGAAGGAGCACTTTGATTCGCAGCTCGAGGCGCTGAAGAACACTGATGAGATCGCGAAGGTATCAGAGTTCATGAAGGCCAACAACGTACTGTTCCCATGCAATCTGCACCCGTGCTTCACTACGTTCGCGGGCTTCGTGATTCCAAAGCTGATTGAGGCCATGTCCACCAAGTTCGCGGACCGCGCGCACTTGGAGATGTCGGACGTCATCGTGAAGCTGGCAGACGGGTTTTCGACGATCAGGCGTGCTTTCGAAATCGGGGGGGGGGAGGGGGTCACGCGAACACTCAGTGTAAATGCCAGCATGTATGGATGTCACTATCTCACTCCTTCCGCCCCCCGCCTCCCCCCTTCCCTTCGCTGCCTCCGCCGCCTCGCTTCTCCCCCCCACCTGCCTTCCCCACCTCTCAACGGCATATACGTGTAAGTGCATTCGCACGAGAGAGAATGAGAAATATTGCAGGAATGATAAGGGAAAGAATTATACCGAGAGAGTGGGACAGAGTAGACAGAGATAGAGATACACGCACAGAGAGGGAAATAATGAGAGTGAGAGTGGGAGTGAGAGACGCACGATAGGGATCGGGGTGAAGCCCCCTTTCCCCGCCGGGCTGCGGCTGCGGCGGCTGGCGGCCAATCGCTGGCGTCGGTGGCGGCGTTGCCGGCGCTGGCGTCGGCGGCGGCGCTGGGCGCCATGGCCTGGCCTGTGGGAGAGGGGGGGTGCGAGATTCTGGTTTTGGTAGTCGATGGGGGGGCCTGCGAGGAGGTAGTCAGGGGCAGGGGAAGGAGCAAAAGGAGGGAGGAGGGGTTGGCGGTGAGAAGGAACGACGGGGAGATGGGGGACGCATGGAGGTGGGAGGGAAGAAGGGGGAAGAGGAGAAGGAGAAGGAGGATAAGGAGGAGGAGGAGGAGGAGGAGCCTGGCATGTTTTCTGTTTTCCATCGGGCAGGCTCGGCGAGAAGAGTCATGACACCATCTGCGAGGCCCTGCCCGTCCTCCTCGGCTGCCAGACTGCCAGTGCAGAGGTCAAGCAGGTAGTGCAGACATGCTTTGGAACAGTTGAAGCTGCCGAGTCGCACTGCCTCTTCCGGACGGACTACACGCTTGGTTTGTTGCGCATGGTGTCGACGATGATGCCGCCCGTGATGCACCATGAGGCCTTGGTAGAGCTCAGGGGCAAGTTGGACGTGGCGCAAGACATGCGTTCAGACATCGGCGCAGTGGAGATCCACAAGAAGGTCGGCGCTGAGGGCGACGAGTCTTGGTCTGTCTTCTGGGTGAACCTCACGCGGTCGGCCGCCTCGAAGGAGTCTCTTTCAGCCTTCGTGCAGGAGCAACTTGCTGACTACAAGCTGAAGGCAGACCGCGCCCTTCAAGCGAGGGCAGATCAGCGCCGCCTTGTTGTTGCCGCTGCTAATTCTGCTCACGCTGCTACTGGTGGGGACGATGCGGAGGAGGCGGCGGCGGATGAGAAGAAGAAGAAGCTGGTCGAAACAGTTGCCGCGCTCAAGTCCATCAGCGACTGCCACAAGGGGCACGCGCA